CCGAAAGCGCCCTGCCCTGACACGTGCACACACATGCATGGAGGTACACACGTGTGCTAGGCTCAAGCCCATGTTGCAGGCCCCACGTCAGACTTATGTTCCTTTTCCTCTCTGCAGCTAGTGCAGCATTTCGCATGTACAGGTAGTAGTGCTTATTTTTTGTTTTGTTTTCCTGAGACAGAGTCTTGCTCTGTCACCCAAGCTGGAGTGCAGTGGTGCAATCTCGGCTTATTGCAGCCTCTGCCTCCTGAGTTCAAGCAATTCTCCTGCCTCAGCCTCCCGAGTAGCTTGGATTACAGGCCCCCGCCACCACACCCAGCTAATTTTTTTTGTGTTTTTAATGGAGACAGGGTTTCACCCTGTTACCCAGGCTGGTCTTGAACTCCTGACCTCGTGATCTGCCTGCCTTGGCCTCCCAAAGTGCTGAGATTACAGGCATGAGCCACCGCACCCAGCCAGTAGTGTTTATTGAAGGTGGGGACAGGTGGTGTTGGGGTCTCCTCCTCCAGGGCAGCCCCCCGACTCTGGCTCCAGCTCTTGGCTCGTGAGCAGCCAGAGTGGCTTCCCTTGTCCGTTTGCTGCCTGGGCCCTCCAAGGACCACTGGAGACACCTTTCCCTGATTCATCCCAGTGGGTTGAGACCTGCGGCAATCATCAGACAAATTCTCACTTCCTCCAAAGATGCTGCACGTGTCTGCCATGCAAGTTGATTTCCTGTTCCCTCAATTTACCCTCTGTCCTCTCTGGTCCCAGCCTTTCCTCCAAGTTTCAGCCATGTTGTAAAATCTAACATTAATACTGTATCTTTCCTGATACCCCTTTCCCAAAGAGAGGAGTCCCCCATACTCCTATAAAACATTATCGGACTCTAGCCACAGTAGAAATGATATTGCTACTGTCGGCCTCTCTGGCCCTACCCTCTGCACAAACCCCTCCTGGCAGGCAGGTACCCAGTCTCAGGAGCACAGACATCTGCACACAGCAAATGCTCATCAGGGGTCTTGTGTAGTCTCCTGCTAGGCTGGTTGTAGGGTACAGGCCCCAAGATGGGTTTCCCAACAGCAATCTAAAGTGTGTAGTTTTAGCAGCAGTGAGAGAGAAATAAATTGTTTTCAACGGCATTTTTTTAAGGACGGTTTTTCAATGGGATCCTTGCTGCTTTGAACTCTTCTGGTGCTTCTGTTTTATAGTTATTGATTTTTGGAGATCATAAAAGTAAACAGGGTTATTATAAGAATGTGGGAACATTATAGGAATGTGGGGACATTATAGAAATGTGTTAAGTCAGAGAGTACAAGCATCCATGCTTCAGAAAGAACTGCTGCCCATGCCTGGTGTAGATTCTTTTTGGTTGCTCCTTGAGGTTTGTCTATCTCCAAAGCAGGGGGGCCAGTTCCAGCCTCTTGTCTAGCATCTGCTGCTATTACTTGACTTCAGAGAGTGGGCTGGTTCAAGAAACATGTCTTCTGAGGGCAGCAGCAGTGCCCTGAGACACAGCAGCGTGTAGTGGGGAAAGTCTGGGAACTGCTGTCTAAAACCTAAGAGAACTGGGGCTGAGCCTCAGTATTCCTCATCTGTGTGGTGGGCATACTGAGAACAACTCTGTTTTGGAGGGAGATTGGGACTAAAAGGCGAGATCATGGATAGGAACACTCTCTATACTCTAAATTCTATGTATTATCCTTTGATTCTGAAAAAGTGTTATTGTTGCTACCAGCTAAGTCCCTTGGGCTTTTGAACCAGTAGACTTGGAGATTTAGTCCAAAGGGTTAGAATGTCATTCTCTTCATTATTTATACACACACCACAGTCTGATGGCAGGAGCTGCTGTGAGCTTTGCAGATGGATGTGGGCAGGTCTTGCTGTGATCTCCTTCTGGGAGCATGAGCTCTGGAAGTGGCTGACACATGTGTCTAGGGCTCTACAGTTCCACCGGAAGAGCAGAGGGTAAACTAAAGCAGAATGAGCCACGTGTCCCCACGGCCAGTCTGTGAACCGCATGGTTTGCTTTCCCCTTGGAAAGCGGGGTGTTCCCCATCCTGTCCCGAGTGTGGTGGGAATACTGATACCATCAGCCCCGCTCTCTTTCTCCCCACTGCCTTGTCCTGCTGGCAAAGGGAACACGCTTCTCTTGGGTCTTCAGGGTATGAGAGATATGGGTACTGTGGAAGGCAGGGACAGGTGAAATGGGGTGTGTGACTGGGAAGTTGGGGAGAGGTGTGCTCCGGCAGAAAGAGAGGCTGAAAAGAAGAGGAGGCCTGGAACAGAACCCATCCATCCCCCAGCCTTCTGAAGCTGTGTTTCTCCCGTGGCCATGCCTTCAAATTCATTCTCTCCCAGGCCAGACCGGCTACATGGCCGGACCATCCCACGCCTCTGCCTCTTTCAGGTCCAAAGCCACCCAGCTCGTGACATGATGCTGGGCCTAGGTGGCAGAGGAGGCAACACTGCCTCTAGAGAAGCATGGGTCAGGGAAATTCCCTGGGATCAAGGGCCCAGCCTTGTCATGGTGCTTACACTATTCCAAACTGCAGGTTTCTGCCCTGGCACAGCGCATGTGAAGGTGGGAGAGGAGAGGCTTTGGGAGTAGGGGTGTTTCTGTCAGATTTGCTTCCTCCCTTGAGACTCTGCTCCCCCGGCTTCGGTTACCTGAGTGTTTTGGTTCTTCTCCTGCCCCTCTGACCCACCCTAGGGTTTCCTTCCTTCTGGAAAGGCAGTGGGGCTCACCTGGGTTTTGGAAGCTGCCATCTGTGCTCCAGCCCCAGCTTTGCCTCTTCTTTGCAATGTTGAACAAGTTATTTATTTATTTATTTAGAGACAGAGTCTCACTCTGTTGCCCAGGCTGGAGTGCAATGGCACGATCTCTACTCACTGCAACCTCCACCTCCCAGGTTCAAGCAATTCTTCTGCCTCAGCCTCCTGAGTAGCTGGGATTACAGGCAACCACCACTACACCTGGCTAATTTTTGTATTTTTAGTAAAGACAGGGTTTCACCATGTTAGTCAGGCTGCTCTCGATCTCCTGACCTCAGGTGATCTGCCCACCTCAGCCTCCCAAAGTGCTGGGATTACAGATGTGAGCCACTGTGCCGGCCGAGTTGCAGGGTTCTCTGGTATCAGTGTCTATGGTGTCTTCAGCGGTCATCTTCCTCACCTGATCCTCATCACCACAACTCTACTTCCTTTCCTGATCTCCTCTCACTTTGACTCTGAGATTAGCATGACTTTTTTTCACATGCAATCCATATTTATTATAGAACATAACACCTGAGCCTTCTCCCTAGCTTTCCTCACTGCTGGCCTCGCTGGCTCCAACCTGTTCTGCCCCACTTCTGCCTGAGGAGGCTTCCTGCGCACAGCCCATCCTGCCCTATGACCTGTGATGTTAACTGCCTCCCCCCAGCTCTGGTCTGATCTGTCTGATGTACCACAGGTGCTTCCATCTGCCATTCCAGGGCCCTCCTGTGCCGGCCTATCCTGCCTGCCTGGGCACCTCTTCACTGTCTCCCGGACTCTGTTCCAGCCAAGATGTGACCTGATGGTGCACCTATCTCAGCAGCTCTGTCACCCCTTCCCCACTTCTGGGAGTCCTGCCATCCTAAAGGCGCCTCTCCAGGGTACATCCTCCTGGCAAGTTTCCTATCTGCAGATGGGCATGCTTTTTCCAGCCCTCGGAGCCCCTCTGCTTGGCTTCTCCTTCCCTTCGGCTACTTCGCTCACCCTAGTTATCCATGGGCCTTGCATGGGCAGCTAGAAGAGCAAGAGTCTGGAGTGAGACAGCCTTGTTTGAGTCTCAGCTTAAACTACCTTCTATCTATATGACTGTGGGTAAGCTATTCCCTCTCAGATACTCAGCTTTCTCATCTGTAAAGTGGAAGCTAATACTATACCATGACTTACCTTCAGTTTTTGGGAGAATTCAAAAGATAACATGTCAAGGTTTAGCACAGTTTCTGGAATGTGATGAGAATTCAAAAGCGTTAGTTTAGGCCAGGCATTGTGGCTCACACCTGTAATCCCAGCACTTTGGGAGGCTGAGGCGGGTGGATCACCCAAGGTCAGGAGTTTAGGCCCACCCTGGCTAACATGGTGAAACCTTGTCTCTAGAAAAAAATACAAAAATTAGCTGGGCATGGTGGTGGGTGCCTGTAGTCCCAGCTACTCAGGAGGCAGAGGCGGAAGAATCACTTGAACCTGAGAAGCGGAGGTTTGCAGTGAGCTGAGCTTGCACCATTGCACTCCAGCCTGGGTAACAAGAGCGAAACTCTGTCTCAAGCCAAAAAGCAGCAGTTTTATAATTAGTGTCCAGCCCTCCTGTGTCTGCCTCCCTAGGGCAATCCACAGAACCTGGCCTGTTCTTTGATGATGCTAATGGCTGTTTGATTCCAGGAGAATTGACTTGAACAGAACATAAATCTGAGACCTTGACCTGGCAGGAGATGAGGGCCATGGGTAATCCCAGTTCTGTATAATTTGCAAGACAGTCTTGCTGCCTTGGCTATGACAATGGAGGTAACTCCCCAGTTATCTCATCTTCTGGATTTCAGCTTATGAAGGCTCTTTTATGTTACCCATTGGCATGGCAGAGGCCACTCCTGCAGGAAGCCAGGGTTGATTCTTTTGAAAGCCGGCCATCCTATACCCAAGTCCTCAGAGGACATTGAAAGGGAATTTAGGGCAAATCTAATGAAGCTCAGGCAGCAGCTGAGAAACACAGGAGATTCTTTTGACCCTTATCTATCAAGGAAAGTCTTTTGGTGACCACCTAATATGTGGCATAGGGTTGGTTAGGGGCAGAATCTGCCACAGACAGGTAAAGTTGCAAAAGAAACATTTAGATATCACCAAGTTTGTCCTTTGCATTGTAGCTGGGCTGCGCCTAAGAGCTGCTCCTAAAGGTTGAGCCACCACCTTGCTCTTTTCCCCCCGGCTGGATTTGGAGCTTTTGAGCACCAATATCCTCTCTTAAATAACAGTCTTTGCTGATTTTCCTCTTGCAGCCAGGCGGCACTCCAGGGTCCGGCCCAAGGTGACTGTCCTGAACTATGCCTCCCCGATAACTGCAGTCAGCCGGCCACTGAATGAGATGGCCTTGACCCCACTGACGGAGCAGGAGGGGGAAGCCTACCTGGAGAAGTGTGGCAGTGTGCGGCGGCACACGGTGGCCAATGCCCACTCGGACATCCAGCTGCTGGCCATGGCCACCATGATGCACTCGGGCCTGGGGGAGGAGGCCAGCAGTGAGGACAAGTGCCTGCTCCTGCCACCCAGCTTCCCCCCACCCCACCGGCAGTGCTCCAGCGAGCCCAACATCACCGACAGCCCTGACGGACTGGAGGAGGGGGCTGGGGGCAGCCAGGAGGGCTCAGAGCTGAACTGTGCTTCCCTCAGCTGAGTTGCCACCCTGAGGCCTTTCCACCTGTTTTGCAGCCAGAATGAGGACACCTCCATCTTCATGGATTAGCGAGGGGCTCTTGCTTTATGTGATGCTGCCTTATTTCTTTTAGGGTACAGTCCTGGTCAAAATGCCCTAAGGGGACACCGTTGTTGTCAGCCTCTTTATTTTGGTGACTGTGAACACTTCTTTGTGGTCAATTGAAAGTGACTAACTGCCTAATGGTCACTTTCTGACTCCAACCTTGCCAGCCTGACTCAGATCCTCATCTCTAGGCCTTTCCCCCGCAAAGACTGGACTGCCTGATGCTCCCAATGGCATATCCAATGTCCTGACATTTCTGGAGCAGGAGGTTGTCAGGACCACACATACAACCAAGGATATGTTGGCCTTTGAAGTTCCCCTTTAGGTTCCTTGCGATGAGATTTATGGATGGAAAATGAGTGGAGAGGAATCTCCTCTCCCCCGTTTTGTGTAGAGTGAAAACAGCCTGCAGCCCTTACCCAGCGTGGTCTGGGAATGTGCCTTCCTTATTTTAGTTTCAGAATTGCTGGGAAACGGTTACGCCTCTGGTGGGTGAGGAGCTATCCTCACCTACATCCTGATCCTATGTGCTGCCTGCACAGAGGCCTTTGGCTTTTGGCCCAGGAAGGCTGCGAGGCTGAAGCTGCCCTGTCTTTCACTGAGCCTCAGCATTTCCCTCTCAGGCTTCCCCTCAAGCCGAAGAAACTCACCCCCAGATAAGTAGCTGGTGCCTCTTGTCTCTCTCATTTCAGAAACAGACTTTCTCACCATGCTTTCCTATGGTGGGTGTGAGGGGCCAACTAATACCAACCAACTAGCCTGTGCCTGGATTTGACTTGAATTTTTTAAATGTGTATCGTTTCAAAAAAAAAAAAAAAAGTTTGCAAATTTTGCACGTAGGATCTTGCACTGTTCATTTCCAATGGAGTGAGTCTTCACACTAAAAAAAACAAGCAGAGCTCCTGGGAAAGGAGACTGGAAGTGGTTCAGGATAAAGATCCGTGGGAGGCAGGGCTCTCATGTCACAGAGCTCTGGAAGCAGCTGGACTTGAATCTGCAATGGCCTGTGTAAATTTATAAATTTCATGGTTTCTAGGAAAAGCTGCATTGGGATGGGGAGACCCAGTTTGCTTCATGGGCAGAGGATTTTTCCAGGAAGCATGGAAAATTGAATGGATTTTTCCAGGAAGCATGGAGAGGGGATATGTGGGCAGGACCTTTTGGAGGGATGGGATGTTTATTCCCTGTGGTAAAAGAAAGGTCTGGAATTTCTAGCACGTGAAGCACTTGGGGGAAGCAGGCCCTGGCACTGTGCCGCATCCTTCCACTGCTCCCTCTAGCTCTGGGAGCTTTTATCCACCTTGCATCCCTAGCCTCCTCTTTGTAGTTGTCCATCTTACTGATAACAGCTCCAGGAAAAAAGACAAGGCTCCCCCTCTGACCCTTCCTACTAGTGTTTAGGAAATCTCAAAGAGATGAGCTACCTTGGCTTCCAATACGACAAGAGGGTGCTGAGAGGAGGTGAAGATCAGTCTAAGCTGCCATGGTGATGACAACTTCTAAGCTTACTAACTCTTGATGGCATTTCCCTTCTGGGTGAAGATTTGAAATATGATCAGAATTGTGCTCTTGATGACTTGGAATTTAGAAATTTTAAGAGTTATTTCATTTTCATCCTAAGAGCGATGGGAGAGAAATGTCCAAAGGCGATCTGCTGATCTGCTAAGAATTTCAAACAAAAAATAATCTCTATATATGTGTTGGATAAAGTCTACAAATTGGCTAACATGCATTAGCAAATGGAACATCAGTAGGTAGCAACATGATGATTTATGTAACTGATGGCTTCTGTCTTGATAAGTACATTTAACATTTGAGACTAGTATTTATTGATCCAGGCAAAGTAATTAATGATGCTTGGGTTTACTTTTTCAGTTTATAAGGTTAATCATAGGTATATAGGTGTGTGTGTGTATGCGTGTGTGTATAAATGCCTTTTCCATATCTTAAATGTCCCTGATGAGGAGCGGAGTCATCAATTAAATACATAAGCTCTTAAAATGAGAATGGGACTATCAGTATAGACCCAGTGTACTTAATTGCTGATGATGGTTAGCCAGTTTACAACTTTATCATTGATATACACATTCGATATATGTGCAGTAAATAGACTGTACCTATAAAAATTGTATTGATGTTTATGGGCATGTTAGCTATCAGAGAGCTACTGGAAGAGTGATAGCCAAAGTGTTTTTAACCACTTTTTCTTTCCTAGATCATTTTCATTATTTATGCTAGGATTTTCCTATTGTTGACGTTTAATGACAGGAAGCAATCATGACTCTTAACTCCGAGTGAGCTCACAGAAACCTTTCATATGGTCTGTTTCCAAAATGGATTCAATAAACAACATTTTGTCCATGTTACCCTCTTCTCATGCTGGTTGCCCCAAGGGTGTCTTGATTGAATTTGCAAGTATAGCAGTCAAATTAGATCTTGGTGCATCCTTCCCTCCAACTCCCTGCCCCCACTTCTGCCTCCTCATCTCTTTTCCTGCTGCCTCCACTCCAGAGTCAGACAGCAGCCTTAGCTCAGCCAATCTCCCCTGGGTTTTATTTGCACTCCTGAGCTGGATTGGCAACTTGTTTCCTGTAGAAACAGATTGTGGAGCTTAGAAAATACAGAAAAAAGTCTGAGAAGCCAAAGCTTTTTCTAAAACCAGCTTGGCCTTTCTTCCCTCTAGTATTTGACCTAGAGGGAACACTTACCATATACATGGACGATCTCATATATTCTCCTATGATTCTGTTTGGCAGAGGAAATTTGTAAGATTTACTCTGCATAAATACTTCTAGGAGGCCTATAGCAGCAATAGTCTGAGATCTCTAAAGGCTAGTTACTAAGAGCCTTTGAAGAGGTTGACTGATTAGCAATCCTGTAGGGTGTAAAAGGAGAGTGTGTATGTTTTGGTTGAGACTTTGCAGGTTATAACTATGGTAAATAAGCACTGATCATTCTGCCTCAATAGGTTTCATGTCATTAGTGCACCACCATATTCATTTTTCCACCCATCTACGCACCAAACATTTGTGGAGCTTCCATTGTGTGTAGGCACTTTTCTTGGCGCTAGGGATATAGTGATGGACAAATAATCAAGGTGCCTGCTATCATGGAGCTTACAATCTAGTGGGGAAGGCTGGAAATCAGGGCGACACAAACATTGTGACTACCAAACAACAAACACTGGATGAAATGGCAAAGTGCCAGTGACTGAAGAGTGAAGGATGACCGTTGACAGAATGGCCAAAGGAGGTCTCTCTCCACATTGACTGAGCCAAGACCTGAGTGACAAGGAGCCAGCCTTATGATCTGCTTTGTTTCCGCTCACCGCTGTAACAACTACCACAGACTTAGCAGCTCAAAACAACACCTTTATTATTATAGTTTGTTGGTTGGAAGTCTGACAAGGGTCTCACTGGGCTGAAATCAAGGTGGTGTCAGGGCCACATTCCTTTCTGGAAGCTTTAAGGGATAATCTGTTTCCTTATCTCTGCCAGCTTCTAGAGGCTGCCCACATTCCTTGGCTTATGACCTTCCTCCATCTTCAAAGCCAGCAGTGAATGGTGGGTTGAGTCCCTTTCACATAGCATCTCTGCAAACTATATTCTGCCTCCCTAGGACCCTTGTCAATTACACTGAGTCCATCCAGGTGATCCAGGATTATCTCCCATCTCAAGGTCTTTAATCACACCTGCAAAGTCCCTTTTGCCTTGTAGGATATAACACAGGTACTGTGGATTACGATGTGGACATCCTTGATGGGGGAGGGGAAGTCATTATTCTGCCCTACAGAATAATGATTACCACATAATCTTTAGTTTTTGCTGCTTCTACTGATTACTCTTTGTGGGTGGCAAGCTCCTGAAAGACCAGCTTAGCTGCTGGGAAAACTCCTTGTCCTCCTGCCCAGTGGAATCTTACGGAGTAGGAAAGTAAGATGGACAAAAAGTGTCCACCCCAGGGGCTGACCCTGCCTTCATGCTAAGGAGCAGAGGTAAGTTGGCTGAAGCTCTTCTGAAAGTCCTTAAATGTCCTTGAGCCCCTCCGCTGGCCAGAGATACATTGGTGTCCTCTCTGGCATGCTTGCTGTCATCTCCATTCCTTCTCGGCTGGACTGGAGATTTCCATGGGTACTGCCCTGCTGCCTCCTCTGCTGACATCTCTCTCCCAGCAGGAGAAAGGCCTGCCATGGGGTGTACTAGGGAGCCTGTGAAGATGAAACTGCAACATACAAGTGCTGGTCTCAGCGTCCAGGGGAGACCCGGTGACATGGCCTGGAGAGCTTATGGCCTGACCTCCACCCACCATGGCCTAGATTCCCACAGAGACCACGATTCCATAGTCCCAGGCTCCAACCTCTAATTGCCCCATTGCCTTCTATCGGGCCCTTACCATCTCCAGTCTGGTCTTGCACAACTTGGTACTTCCTGTATTTGTATACAGACTCCATCTCTCTCTTATGTACATTCCCATTTGATCTGAGATGCAAACCGCGCTTTAAACTTTTTCTTGGCTTTCAGTAAAATCCATACACCTGAACTTGACTTCGGTATCCTTCACAATCTGGCCCCACTTACCTTCCCAGCCTCATTGGCTGCTCTTTGACTCCCCTAAGTTGGAGACCAACAGCTTCACCAGGACTGTTCATCATGCCAGGAAGCTGCCTTCCATCTCCACACCCCCTGCCACGCTCCCACTGTTCCCTCTCCCTGGGGGCTCTCCCCACTACTCCAGATAGAAAGAGCCACTTCAACCTCTACACATTCTCAGGGGCTTAATCCAGGAAGGCAAGGCTGTGTAGGATTTGTATCTGCAGGCCTAGGGCTTCATGATGCAGAGAAGTTTTTAAGTCATGTTCATTGAACAAATGAATGGGATGGCATAAATCTGATCTCCACCCTGTCCCTCCCAGGTATGTACAGAAAGGACACTCTCTCCTTTTCCTCCAGGTAGGGATCTTCCCCTCATGGCTCTCTCCAAGCATGTTCCAAATGAGGTTGTGTGGCCAGGTGACCCAGTGAACACAGGCAGAACTCTGAGCCTTTCTTGCAAATCCTCCCCTTTGCTCCAGCCAATGTCTGCCACCTCCCTGCAGAGTTAACCCTATTCACAGGGATGATGTTTTGCTCCAGAGCAAGCAATTTGTCTTGACCTTCCCCCTGTCTGATTGCTTGGGGACCTGGGACACCTGCCTGAGGGAGAGTGAGAGCACCTGTTGTTTGCCACAGGGCCATCTCTTTGAAGAAGCTCTCCTGCCAAGAAGTAAGAGGGAGTGTCCCAGGCCAGTGAGCTCAGGAAAGAACCTCCTTGCCCCAGTCCTCTCTGCAGTCAGGAATCTAGCATGAGGGCCGAGTACTATGCCATTCCTTACAACAACCTTGCAAGGCAGGTATCACCCCCATTTTGGAGATGGGCAAACTGAGCCTTGGGTCTTTCAAGCAATGGAGCTGGGACTTGACCCCAGGTTCACCCCAAGTCCAGTGGTATCCCTTTCTATTCTAGGGGGTACCCTAGCCTGATAGAAAATGAAGAATAGCTAAGCCAGCTGCATAATCTCCTCAGTTGGCCACAAGGTAAGAGATGTTTCAGGATTTCTAGAAAAGCTGAAGAACAAAGCTGCATCTGTTACTTTTCGGCAACCATTTCTAGAAAACCTCATGGCGTAAGGAGTGGGGTTGGGGGACTCTGGTATCCTGGACAGTAAATTTCTTATGTAGAAAAAGATTCGGTGCTTTAAAAAAAAAAAAAAAGTTAAAATTTGTTTTTTAAAAAGTAATAAGTTCAACAATTAGTAATAATTTAATAAATAATATAATTTTGTCTTTAGAATCATCCATTTCAGATGCAAAGTTTAAATTTTTTATGCTTTGAAATTCAGCTTACAAATTTTATTCTATTTTATAAATCTAGCAGATCTTAGCAATAACTTTGAGGAGTCTTTGAATAATGCTTGCTCTTATTTACAAGCATAGCTCAGCATTTCATACACTTTTAAACAAATTTAGAAATTTAATACATTTATTTATTTATTTATTAAGTACTTTGGTTTTTTTGACAGCAAGCAAAATCATGCCAAATTTTAAACTCTTATGGAAGCTAATAAATTGAAAAAGAAATCTAAGCCCTCTGAAATGTTTTTATACTCGAATTAAACTTAGATGTCACCATAAAAGTCACAAATCTAAATTAATTCTCAATTATATATTTTAAAGTGGAGTTGTAAAACTGTTACTCTAATGGGCTTTATTCTCTTAAATATCACATTCTGAAACACCAAATAGGCACATATTCCTTCCTAATATAAAATATTAGTGCTATGGTTTTGTTTCTTTTAAAAATTTCTATGCTTAAATCTAAACTCCTGGAGTGTTGGTGAGCTATTGTCTCTCTGTTTCCAGCCTTTTCCTTTTTTTGCGATGCTGTGATTGGGATTCTGCAAACCACATTGCTGCTTTGTCAGCTGGGTCCCTGGTATATTCTGCCACTTGGGGGCGCTAGAGGGAGCCTGGGGGACTGGTGGAGGGAGAAGAGCTGGGCTCATCCTGTCTTTGTCCACGTCGCCTGGCACAGACAGCTGGGTACAGCAGCAGTATTGAGTTACTGTTTGCAGCTTATCCACATTCCCAGAACCAGCCTCAACATCTCCCCTTAGACATACAAGCACTGTCCAGCCTGGGGCTCCTCCTTAGAATTCCGAAGCCCTCTGAGGTCCCTCCCTCTAACTTTTTAAATTTCAATATCCCCTAACACTTCTTTTTGTTTCCCCACCTCTAAGGATGGTAGTTGCTTCGTGTAGTTGCCACCTCTGTGATTCCTCTGGGTCCCTTCTTTGCCATTTTATTTGTCTAATTCCTACTTAATAATTCTTTATATTAAATTCTCTCTATTAAAATAACTGATATTGCCTTTGTCCTTTGACTAGCCCCTGACTGATGAACCAGGGTTGAAAAAATACACACCCACTAAAGAAGATAGTAACCATCCCAGGTAACCAAGGCAAATCACTACCAGAAATTTCCTTTGGGTATGAGACACAGAGCTGCAGACATTGAGTGATTCTTCTCACCCCCACCTAAGAAAACTATATCATTTCAAGTAAATTTGGTGGTTGCTTCTCAGCATTCTTGAGTTTATAGGTGGAGCATACTTGATTCTTGTCTGAGTCCCCTAGAGATGCTGGGTCCTATTTGTGGTTGCTTAGTCAATGACTTCATAGCTTAAAAGAAGTGACCTCAGAGCCCTTGCTCCTGTATCATACAATTGCCTCGTTCTTCAGTTACCTTCAGAAGTATGCATTTCTCACTAAGTCACTCATTAGATTGCCTTCTCATTTCCTTGGCTCTTCTGGCCTAGGTCTAATGACTTTTGACAGCAATC